AGTAAAAGCAACTACCGCAGATCTCCTAAGCTGCCCCTCAGGGAAAAGCCAAAGTCTGAAAGAATAGATAAGGCTTCAGCTGTCTGCTACAATTGTCACCGGCCCGGACATTTTGCATGTGAATGCAGATCGAAGAAAGCTGCGATGCCATCTTCTAAAGCTCCCTCCTCCTTCAGGACTAAAGATGAAAAATACTTAAAACTAAATGAGAAGTACAGGAAGGTGAAGAACAACTAGCAAAAGGTTAAGGGCCTTGTCGCTGAAGAGCATGACTGGGCTGAATTATCCGATGAATCATCTTCTGACGAGGAAGATACAGCCTATCTTTGCTTGATGGCCAAAGATGCAGATGAAGAGTCTTCAGAAGCATTTACCTCCTCTGAGCCATCTACCTCTTCTACTACTCAGGTATGTTCCCTGAATGAACCCTCTTCTTCTTCTAGTCTTTTTGCACTSGATACGTTGACGGTTGACCTTTACAATGCCCTCAATGGCAAATCGAAAGTAGAAATGCTTAACGTTGATCTTCAWGAGCAATTAAAGATTTGTTATTCTAAGATCAAAGAGCTGACCTCTGTCGACGAAAATCTTAAGGATCAGGTTATTGTAAACCAAGCCATCACCATTGAACGTGAGAAGGCCATCGATGAGCGTGAGCAAGCAATCACTGAACTTAAGGCTGAGAAAGCTACCATTGAAGGGTGGTGTAAAGCTTCTCTCAAATTCTCTGAGATCATCAACGCTCAGATCCCCGCCAAGATAACGACTAGTCTAGGATTCTCCTATGATYAGGAAGAACATGTTACARACAGGTCCATGCTTAAATTTGGCACCTTCGTCTCTTCTATTCCTAACACTTCTTCCTCTCAGTCTTCTCTTACTGAAAGTCATCTTGAAGGAACTCCTTCGAGTTCTGGTTGCAAAGACAAAGGTAAATCCATTGTCACAGCACCCCTTCCTAAGAAGTCTAACCAGTCTAATAGATCAAGGTCTATTCCTTCAGCTTGTAAAGCTTCTTCTTCTTCAGGGACTAGGAAATCTGAACCCTCTCACAAAT